TGTGTGTGTGTGTGTGTGTGTGTTGACCGTGTGTCTCATTGTACCGGCTACATGATTTATTTTCATCTCTTTGAAAGCTGCATTTGCAGTCTACACTTCTTATATGGCGTAGCTATTAAAATTGAATTGCGCCGATTGTATGCCGACAAACAATCCTAACTAGACGTTTGGTTGTTGCTATGTGATTAAATTGTATTAAAACACCACACATACATATAAGCACAAAAATGCATACACACACGTATAAACACAACACACACACACACACACACACACACACACACACACACACACAAACACCACACCCACAAACAAACAAACACATACACATACACGCGTAATACATATGCAATAAAAGAGAACAAGCTAAATTTATTTCCAGTTTAGCTTTATAATGTTAGAGAACGTGTGCTTCTCGTTATATTTTAAAATGTTACTTGTCAGTACCACCTTACTCACTACTTTCTTTTTCTCCATACCTTTATTTATTTTATTGTTGTTTGTTGTTTGTTTCTTTTCACTACATACACACAATTTAGTTCATCTTCTATTTAGTTACTCTTTGTCCACGTAATGTAGAAGTATTGTGGTAGCAAAACATTTTAAAAGAACTTCACCAGCATCGAAAAGTTGTAAAAAGTGCTATAGAAAGAACACTACAAGGACAAATTTTGCGCTTCTATTAACTAATCACTTATTTAATTATTGGTTCTTTGTGGTCGTCCATTGTTTTTTATAATGACTAACATTTTGAGTAAATTCATTTTCTTATGTGTGCGCGGAGATGGCTCTTTGGGTCGACCCGCAATCGACACACATTTGCAGTGAGGGCAATGGGAAACTGTCCGGGGTGGAAAATGAAATGATATAGGTTTAACGCCCCTATCACCGCTATTGGCTGATTTAAAAGGCAGGACCCTCGAGTTTAACGTCTATTTCCGAAAGGACTGATCCAAATGGGAAATCCGTGTAAAGTGTCTTTCCCAAGGACACAACGTCGGAACAAGCTGACGCTCGAACCCCAAACCGGCAATCTCGCTATTACATGTCTTGTAGCCACCTACACTATAATCCGGAGTGGTCTGGATCAGACATCGAATACTTTTTAAATAATTTTTGTACACCTATGTGTTCTTTCGCCATAACCGACACAATTTAGATCATTTAGGAGACAGGCTTCCTTCCCTGCCTGTTTATGAGAGCCAACCCCGGCTGAGCGGGATACAACGTATGAACATAAAGACCGAGATACTCAATAAAAAAAAAAAATTATCCCCTTTTCGAGAACGGAACTCAGGTCGCATACGTACAACAGCGAATTTCCTAACGCTCATCTGGTCGTCCATCTTCGTGCATTTGCTTCAGCTACATCAGCTTGCTTTTGCTCTTGAAAGAAACATTTGTCTCGCACCTGGGTAATGAGGGTGTGTTAGTAGTTAGACTGGCCCGTCATTAGACCACAGCTCTGTTTTTTGCATATAGCACTGCTGTTTGACGCCTCTTCACTCTTCAGCGACAAAACATTATTTCCGATTAGTAGTATACCATCGGACGTGTTTCGGCATATTTCGAAGTATCATACACACATCAGAAACACAAATTTGCATATGTCATAGAACGCATTATGTTGCCTGCCTGTTTGATTTTCATAATATAAAGAAAGTAAAACTGCAAAATATGTAAAAATAAAAAAGAGATATACTTTTGCTTTAAAGTGCACCAAAATCGTGGTCGAAGGACTGGAATGTGCGTAACTAATGAGTTATCTCGCTGCTTCCTTTCGTTGTTCGGAGATAAAGTATACAACATTTCTGACGGGTAACACGACCCCTAAACACAGAAAGCTGGTGCCTCTATAAATAGATTATTAATGAACCTTTACAGTTGTTGGTTTGGGTTTTTTTTTCAAAAGAAAAGAAGTTTTAAAAAAGAAGCAAAAAAGGGCAAATCCAGGTGTAACCACTGTAATTTTGTTTTTAAAAGGTGAAAGAAAAACAACATGCAATGTACAGTTTTTGAAATGTCATTTATTTCTGGATGAAACTGTTTAATGTTTTGATTGTGGAACACATAACTTAACGATAGCTCAGCTATAACGACCTACTATGTAATTTTCATTTTATAAATTTAATTTACAAATAAAACATACATAAATGATAGAATAAAAAAAAAACGTCATCTCCCTCACTCTCTCCTTCTCACTCTCTCGATCTCTATCTCTTTTTCTCTTTTTCTCTCTCCCCCACTATCTCCCTCTTGTTCTTTCCCTGTCTATCTATCTATCTATCTATCTATCTATCTATCTATCTATCTATCTATCTATCT